CTGGCTTGGTCTACAGCATGAGTTGGTTCCAGAACAACCTGAGCTATAGTATGAGATTGTTTCCAAAAGAAACTAGGTGTAGTGAAGCACACTGTTAATCACAGCACTGAAGGGACCAGGAGCAGGCAGATCACTGTGAGTTAGAGGCCGTCCTGCTCACCTAGGGAGTTAGTTACAGGCCAGCCAAAACTACATAGCAAGACTCTGTCTCCAGAAAAAGAAAAGAAAGAAGAAAATGATGAGGTAAATAATTGTAATTATGCTAAGTGTATATAGAGAAAAGGAAATTAGGATAAGGATTAGTTGTTCAAATTTTGGAAAGCATGTTAGATGGGGTTTTGTTTTGTTTGTTTTGAAGACGGCCTCTTTTTGTAGATCAGACCAGCATTAACTTTAATTACCTGTCTTAGCTTCCTGGGTGCTGGAATATACCACTATGTCTTGCTCACATGCTGTTTTATACAAGATGGTTAAAAAGACGACATTTATTTAGTTTTACTTTTTATATGCATGAGCATTTGCCTTTGTGTATGTTCCTACACTATATGTGTGCCTGGTGCTTGCAAAAGCCAGAAGATGGGGCTCCGAACTGCTGGGACTGGAGTTACAGATGGTTAGGACCTTGCTGTGGGTACTTGGAGTTGAACTTGGGTCCTCTGAAAGAGCAGCCAGTGCCCTTAACCTGTGGATAATCTCTCTAACCCACGATTTTGAGAGGAGAGAGTTGGATAAGAAAGATAGAATCAGAAAGTTCAAGTCTAGTAGTAATCTGAGGTGTTGGTGGACGAGACCATTGAGGTGGTAGTGGGGACTGATGAGAGTTGAGGGTTTCTTGTTGCTGTTGTTGTTTAAATTCCATTTAAAGACAAAACTAACAGGTGGTGATATGGGACAAATGTATTGAAAAAAATAAAACGTGTTTCTTTGTGATATTTCAAAAGATTGATGGCATACCTTACATACTCTTTTTGCTGTGAGTGTACATATCTACACATACATGTCTTTATAAGTAATTTAGTTTGAGGGTAGAGTGCCTCTATGAAGTCTTTAAAATTGTTTGCATTGAAACTTAACACTCAAAATGCTCCTGGAAATTTGGTGGGTTGAAAGTTTTTAAGACAAGCCTATTCTGTATAAAAACGTCATGATTGTTCAGGTGGATGTGACTTTTTTTCTTTTCCTAAGTATTATTTACTATATTCATTTATCATTTATAAGTTACCTAAGCATTTTTAATTACTGTAGATATTTTTAAAGTCTTGTTTTCTGAGTTGTTCTTTTGGTCCACTCCTCAAACCATATTTGCAGATGGGAAATAAACGGTGGGATTCCTTAGACGCAGCAGACTCAGTGCTGTTTCCGTGGGATGTGAAGTCTACTTACATCAGATGCCCTTCCTTTTTCTATAAACTTGTAAGTGCTGGTGGACTGTTTGATCTTTTAAAGATTGTTACAATTTAAAAAGGGGGGTTCGGGGGAGAGAAAGAGTTCAGCCTTCTCAATTCTTTTCCTTTTAGACCAAAGAGCCAGCTGCATTCCAGCCCATTGAAAATGCCCACGTCCTGTTGTATTTGGGAGACTCTGTCACTACAGATCATATATCACCTGCTGGAAGTATTGCGAGGAGTAGTGCTGCTGCTAAGTATTTGACAACCAGAGGGTATGTATGTGTCTGTGTCTCTGGGGTGTTACTTTCCCCTCTTTCTCTGTTACTAAGAGGCTTTTCTTATGGTCATATTCCTGTATCGGGTAAATACATCCTGTCTTTGGAATCTCACTGTTCTCACATTTGTCTTTAGCAAGAATTAAGTAACACCTTGACCCCCCCCTCTCTATAATGTCAGAAATTGAGGTCACTATTTTAAATTTACCTCTATTCAAGCTAACAAGTAACTGAAGCCTTTAGAATCTAAGGAAGTAACTGATTAGAAGCAATTATCAAGCTTAGTCACACCAAATGGAGCCTGACCATTTGGTTCTAACCAGCTTTCCATCACTAAATTGTAGCAAATGTGTGCTTCATGGAGTATAAAGTGTGTATCAGTGAGGCTACGATTGATATGTATCAATATCAAAGAAGACTGAAAGGATCAAATTTGAATAGCTAAATATATAGGAGGTAAATTATTTTAAAGATGTTTTATGTGTGTGTTTGTGTGTGTGTGTGTACGCACCTGTGCTTGTGTGTGCACTATGTGTGTACTGCCCATGGAGGCAGGAAGAGGATATTGAACCCCTTTGAGCTGGACTTGTGAGCTGCTTGACATGGGTTCTGTAAACTGAATTCAGGTTCCCTGCAAGAATGGCAAGCAATTTAAACTACTGTGCCAAAGAGAAACAAATTTAAACCTAGAAAGGCATTTTTCCATTTCTATGTAAGTAATAAAATATGGAGTTGTTCTCACTAAAGATCTGTTTTGGTATCAGGAAGTTTGTAGTGTTTGTTGATTACCTTTTGAATATTATTTGTTGCTTGAACATTCAAATGTCGAGATTTTTCATTGAAATTCTTTATAATAATTGAAGGTATGAAGCTTGATTTGACAAAATCATACTATAGTTTTTATTACAAAGTTTCTTTCTGATACTTTTTACTGCATTTTAATTTAGCATGTATGTGTGTGTAAACATGCAAGTCAGTTCTCTGCATGTCCCCTGGGAATCCATACTCCTGTTGTCAGGCTTAGCAGCCAGTGCCTTGACACTGAGCCATCTTGCTGGTGTTATCTCCTAATATTTTTTAGTTATGATTTTTTTTTTTGGTTTTTCGAGAAAGGGTTTCTCTGTGTAGCCCTGGCTGTCCTGGAACTCACTCTGTAGACCAGGCTAGCCTCGAACTCAGAAATCTGCCTGCCTCTGCCTCCCAAGTGCTGGGATTAGAGACATGTGCCACCACTGCCCGGCTAGCTATGATTTCTATTCTCACCATAAAAGTAATTATCCTCCACAGAGAAAAATCAGTTGCCACTTCTTTTAAATATATACTTTCTTATTATTTCTTTTAATTTAGTAGTTTTCAATCACTTTAGAATTTTCTGAAAGCATGGACATCCAGATTCTGTCTATCCTAATGTTTCTCAGCCTGCAGGTCATGAGCCCTTCTGGGGTTGAACAACCATTTCACAGTGGTTATATATCAGATATTTCCTTTATGACTCATGAACTTTTTTTGTGTTTTGTTTTTGTTTTTGTTTTTTTTTGTTTTTTGAGACAGGGTTTCTCTGTGCAGCCCTGACTGTCCTGGAACTCACTCTGTAGACCAAGCTGGCCTCGAACTCAGAAATCCACCTGTCTCTGCCTCCCAAGTACTGGGATCTAAAGGCATGCACCACCACTGCCTGGCCCTTTATGACTCATAACAGTAGCAATATTACAGTTAGGAAGTAGCAACAAAATAATTTTATGGTTGGGGGTCACCAGAATATGAGGAACTGTATTAAAGGGTCATAGAAATTTAGGAAGGTTGAAAACCACTGTTCCATATCATTCTATCCTGAAGTAAAAAGTTTTTTTTAAGTATACAACAAGTTCACTTGATGCTTCTGTGAAAAAGTTCAAAAGGAGTTGATAAAAATCAGTTGTTGATTGTTATTTTTGTTCAGTAATTTCTGGCCTCTAAAATTGCTCAGTGTGGTAGCTGCTTACAGGGTAGATGGAGGCTAAAATATTGTAAGTTTGAGACCAGCCTTGGCTATATACTGAAGTCCTTGCCTTTCAAAAAGGAAGTGAGATTTGAGATTTGCCTCAGATTATTGAAAGTGATTAGCTAAGAAACTGTGTTTATAGATCAGTGATAAACTTGATAAATCCATGTATAGCTTGAGATCAACTAAAGTTGTGGCGAGGACAACAGCCTTTAATGGGTTTTACAACTCAGTAATGTTACTATTTTCTACTTGGCATGAAAACTCTCTTTCATGACTTTTTAGCCTTACTCCCCGAGAGTTCAACTCTTACGGAGCCCGAAGGGGTAATGATGCTGTGATGACAAGAGGCACGTTTGCAAACATCAAGCTTTTTAATAAGTTTATTGGGAAGCCAGCTCCCAAAACAATTCATTTTCCTTCTGGACAGACGGTAAGGGTATATACAAAAGAGCCTTGGCCATTGCTGGTGGGATCAGCTTCTATGTTAAGTATTTTTCTGTCTGTTTAATCCACAGCTTGATGTCTTTGAAGTCGCAGAACTGTACCAGAAAGAAGGTATCCCACTTATAATTTTAGCAGGAAAAAAGTATGGTTCAGGAAATTCAAGAGACTGGGCTGCCAAAGGACCCTATTTGCTGGTAAGGAT